ACTCTTTATATCTCCGGTAATATTGAAAGCACAAAAAACGCAGACCACTTTTTGGAAATGCCAGGGCTAGGAGAATTATGTGATAATTGTTTCAAGAATCATGTATGTTAAAGTAGATAGAAGACTAAATGTCACAAATAAATTCAAATACCAAAGACGACTTTCAAGTCGTCTTCCTATTGTCATGTTTCGTGGGACACCCTGTAGATCTTTAAAACGGTTTATATGTCTTAAATGAATCCTAAAGAATTTGTCCACAATACTGCATACTCAGTTCAACTACCATACATTGCCGGTCACTCCCTTTAAGGTTATTACAGGGTCACCCACAAAGGATGAGCCTTTCAAGGCTCGACGGGGCAGAATTTGTTTTTTTAAATGCATGGTTAAATTGGGATTTCTGCCATCAATTTAATATTAATGGCATATTTAGTGATATGGCATAAAAAAAAGTTCACAGTTGCAGGGAATCATGAAATTGAGGGAACAGACAATAAAAATTCCATATAGTTGTCTCTAAAGTCTTATTCTTTAATGTGAACCCTTTACTTGATTGCTGCAGCGCTCGGCCAAGAAACTGTCTTAAGCTTACTTATGTCTTGTAATATGAACCGTCAGACTTCACGGAGCAGAGTTTGGTTTTTATGTATATTTATACATTATACAGTGAGAACCAGAAAACTGTGGAATAGGAAGACGACATTACAGCTTAACTTTTGTGTATTTGATATATAAAGCGTCCCATATCACATTTTCTGCAAGAATATTCTTATGTAAGCCTTATTAAATTTTACAATTTCTCAATCAGTTCTAGTTTAGTTCCTCCTTCTATTCTCTCAATCCGTTCTAGTCTAGTTTCTCCTTTTCTTCTCTCAATCCGTTCTAATTTAGTTTCTCCTTCTATTCTCTCAATTTGTTCTAGGTTAGTTTCTCTTTCTATCCTCTAAATCTGTTCTAGTCTAGCTTCTCTTTCAATTCACTCAATCTGTTCTAGTTTAGTTTCTCCTTCTATTCTCTCAATCCGTTCTAGTTTAGTTTCTCCTTCTATTCTCTCAATCCGTTCTAGTCTAATTTCTCCTTCCATGCTCTCAATTCGTTCTAGTCTAGTTTGTCTTTCAATTCACTCAATCCGTTCTAGTTTAGTTTCTCCTTCTATTCTCTCAATCCGTTCTAGTACTCAATCCGTTTTAGTCTAGTTTCTCTTTTGATACATTCAATCCGTTCTAGTTTAGTTTCTCTTTCAATGTACTCAATGTTCTAATCTGATTCTCCTTCTATCCTCTCAATTGGTTCTAGTTTAGGTTCTCTTTTAATTCACTCAATCCGTTCTAGTCTAGTTTCTCCTTCTATCCTCTCAATCAGTTCTAGTTTAGTTTCTCCTTCTATTCTCTCAATCAGTTCTAGTCTAGTTTCTCCTTTTATTCTCTCAATCCGTTCTAGTCTAGTTTCTCCTTCTGTCCTCTCAATTAGTTTTAGTTTAGTTTCTTTTTTTCCATTCTGGTTTAGTTTCTCTTTCTATTCTCTCAATTCTTTCTAGGTTAGTTTCTTTTTCTATTCTCTCAGTCTGTTCTAGTCTAGTTTCTCTTTCAATTCACTCAATCTGTTCTAGTTTAGTTTCTCTTTCAATCTACTCAATCAGTTCTAGTCTGATTCTTCTTCTATCCTCTCAATTGGTTCTAGTTTAGTTCCTCTTTTAATTCACTCAATCCGTTCTAGTTTAGTTTCTCCTTCTATTCTCTCAATCCGTTCTAGTCTAGTTTATCTTTCAATTCACTCAATCTGTTCTAGTTTAGTTTCTCCTTCTATTCTCTCAATCCGTTCTAGTCTAGTTTATCTTTCGATTCACTCAATCTGTTCTAGTTTAGTTTCTCCTTCTATTCTCTCAATCCGTTCTAGTTTGGTTTTTCCTTCTATCCTCTTAATCTGTTCTTTAGTCTAGTTTGTCTTTCAATTCACTTAATCTGTTCTAGTTTAGTTCATCTTTCAAATCACTCAATCTGTTCTAGTTTAGTTTCTTTTTTTCCATTCTGGTTTAGTTTCTCTTTCTATTCTCACAATTCTTTCTAGGTTAGTTTCTCTTTCTGGCCTCTCAATCCGTTCTAGTCTAGGTTCTCTTTCAATTCACTCAATCTGTTCTAGTTTAGTTTCTCTTTCTGTCCTCTCAATTAGTTCTAGTTTAGTTTATTTTTTCCACTTATTCCATTCTAGTTTCGTTTCTCTTTTTTTCTCAATTCGTTCTAGGCTAGTTTCTCTTTCTGTCCTCTCAATCCGTTCTAGTCTAGTTTCTCTTTCAATTCACTCAATTTGTTCTAGTTTAGTTTCTCTTTCTGTCCTCTCAATTAGTTCTAGTTTAGTTTCTTTTTTCTACTTATTCCATTCTGGTTTAGTTTCGACTTCTATTCTCTCAATTCGTTCTAGGTTAGTTTCGCTTTCTGTCCTCTCAATTAGTTCTAGTTTAATCAACAAACTGTAAATATTTAACTTTTTCTGAAAACCGGAAACGGACCAAAAATATGTTGTGGCATTTCCATCGCACCTAATAAACCTAGATATAAGCATAGGAATCAGACTTTGCCCCCGGTTAGCACTGGAACTCCCGGACTTTATTTAACGTACTCTTTGAGAACAAGTTTATTTCCCAGGCAAAGCTGGTTTCCCAAGCTAATTATGAAACATATTCCTTGAATTGGGATTTGGGACTACAGTGGCAGGGGCGGATACAGGATTTAAGTGAGGGGGGGCAAGATTTTTTAGGAACAAAAAAATTAATAATTAGGAACAAAAAATCGTGCCGCGAAAATTTGTTTTGACTTAAAAGACTCAAAAAGAGTCAAAATTAATGACTAAAGACTAAAAAAATAGATTTTTAACTTTTATGAACAAAATTAACGGATTAGAACATGGATTTAGGAACAATTAAAAGATTGTTCAGGAATTAGGAACAAAAATAAATGATTAGAACAGGAATTTAGGAACAATCAAAAGATTGTTCAGGAATTAGGAACAAAATTAAAGGATTCGGATAGGGATTTAGGAACAATAAAAATATTGTTCAGGAATTAGGAACAAAAATAATGGAATAGGACAGGGATTCAGGAAAAATAAAAAGATTGTTTAGGAATTAGGAACAAAAATATTGGATTAGGACAGGGATTTAAGGTGGGTCGGAAAAGTCTGGTTAGCCATATCTGGGGAACATCCTAAACATCAATAAAAATCAAGAGATGGTCTGAGTCTTGTGAAAGTTACAATGTGGTTTACTGTATATCTTGCAACAAACCTAGTTGCCACAATATACAATATAAACCCTTCATCTGTCATTCAATCAGTTAGAAGTTTGCCAGGTTCAGTCTCAGAATGTTCTCTAGGTTTGGAACTGAGTTTTTGCCACAAACTCAAATACTCTAATCCCTAAATCTTTGCATCAAGTGGTGTAAACCTTTGATATCTCAACACAAAAACAATACAGTTCGGAACTTTTTTACATTAAATGTTTACAATAGCCTTTAGCCTTGAGAATTCAGAAAGATAAAAATATATTTTTTTAAAACTAACCACAGTAGTACAATTTCTACAATAACTCTTTTGGTTTTATTATTCCTGACTCCTCTGATACTGATATCCATCAATCTTTCTTTTCATTCTGTAGGGGGGGGGGGGCGCCCGCCTCTCAGGTGCTAGGGGGGGCGAGCACCCGGCCGCCCCCCCCCTTATTGCGCGTTTGAAAGGGTCGCGAAACTTCAGACTTAATGAAAACTTATACAAATAGTGTATCTATATACAGGGTGTCCCACGAAACATGACAGAAGCAAGATGACTTGAAGGTCGTCTTTGATTTAAGATATAATTTGCTGCATTTATTTGTCAACCTTATTTTTGAAGCAAAATTCTAGAGATAGTAATAACAACATACCCTTGGTTCTAACACATGCATTTCCAAAATGTGGTCTGCTTTTTTCGTGATTTCAATATTTATACGTCCGAGATATTAAGAATTTTCTTCATAATTAGAAAATTTTGGTGTTATTTAATAAAATTGAAATCTTAACAAAATATCTCTGTCAGAACTAGAAGAATTTTGTGGTTAAATTGTAAGAATTAAACATGTAAAAGTAAATTTACGACTGAATGTCACAAATAAATTCCAAGATCTAAGACGAATTTCAAGTCGTCTTGCTATACTGTTAGTTTCGTGGGACACCCTGTAAATACTTTATAAAGTTGTAATCTCTGTTTGTCTGTTTGTTTGTTTGTCCGATCATAACTCTAAAACCCATTGACAGATTTAAGCCTCAAAGTTGGTATGGGAACTAGAGAGAGCCATCAAAAATGTTCTTATAGCTTGGTTTTGAGAGTTTGAGTGGGTCAACTTTTATAGCGAAAGTTTAGTGTCCAAGTGCGGGCTCCCAAGCTAGTATTTCATAATAAAACTCAGAAAGAATAAAGAATTCACATTACAACCGTGCTTCCCCCTCCATATATCAGCCCTGCAGATTGTGCAGTGCAGTTCAAAGAATATATTAAAGAAATGTAGACATTTCATTCAGGCGCGCAACTAGTCATTTTGTTAGGGACAAGATGAAAAAATACCACGCAAAACAATTTTTTTGCCCCCCCCCTAAACAATTTTAGGGAGGGGGGGGGGG